GCTATGAATATTCTTTTGAGATCTATATACATTTGACAGTCCAGGACATCATAGAATATAACTGCATCCTCTGTAGGAAGCCTGGCATGCCTTTCAAGCCTTATAAGAGAGGCATTGACAAGAGCTACGGAAATAAAAGGAGTTGTTTTCGATTCTTTCAGAGAATAGAGCTTGTTCACCCTATTATTATTGTCTGGCTGTTTTCTTTCTTTTGTCACTCATCTAATATGAGCTGTTCCAGCTCTTCAATAAATGGAATAGTAAATGTTTTTTAAGTTTTGGGAAATATTTTCTAACTTTGCATGGTGCTTTTTCAGACTCCTCCCAATCTAGATGGCAGTATCTTCTTCGAATTGGTAATTAATACTCAACATCCCATATTGGTTTAAGGAAGAATGTCACTGTGTTGACATACTTGGACTTGACGCAGAGGGCAGTCCTGTAGATGTTTCCTGGATAGACTCTTTTTATGGATTATTTTGTTAGCATTGATGCGTCCATCAGTCAGCTTCCCAATTCCTTGTTGTTTCTGTGTATCATGCATGGTATACTATCTTCCCTGGAAGCGCCATTCTCCACAGACTCAACATTTATCTTTAGGCAGTTGCCTATTCTTTTTTGATGAAGAAGAACTGTGTTACTGTGAAGATGATTTTTGAAGACTTCACAGAGTGATATTGGTGGGTGCCTTCTGCTATAATCTTGTGGGTGTTCTCCACCATGGCTTTCATAATGTTTTTTTGCAGTGAGGTGACCATCTCCTTTCATCTCTTGCAGGGCTGCCAGCATAAGCAGATTTTTTTTTATATATTTTTCTTTGAAAAAAAAATGTCCCACTACTTACCTAACCCTGGAGATAAGTAGGAGAGAGAGGTGTTTAAATCTCACTTCATATACTGTAGCTCATTTAGAGGGTGCACAGAGGAAACATCCACCCAGGGGAGGCTGAACCTGGCTGTGACAGAGATGGTAAGTGTTCAGTTTATTATTTATTTATTTCAGGTACTTATATAGCGCCGTCAATTTACGCAGCACTTTACACATATATATTGTACATTCACATCAGTCCCTAATCCTCAAGGGATGTACAATCTAAGATCCCTAACTTACATTCATACATACACATACTAGGGCCAATTTAGACAGGATCCAATTAACCTACCAGCATGTCTTTGGAGTGTGGGAGGAAACCAGAGTACCCGGAGGAAACCCATGCAGGCACAGGGAGAACATGCAAACTCCAGGCAGGTGGTGCTGTGGCTGGGATTCGAACCAACGACCCTAGTACTGCCAGGCAGAAGTGCTAACCATTTAGCCATAATTGGCCAATCATATAGTGAAAACAGAAAAGAAAATTGCATATGATGCTCACCAGGTCAAATTTATAGTTGGCCAGTCCTATGGGGTTGTGTGGGCAGAGACACAACTCATTGTATGCTGCTATTAAAGTGGTTTTAAAACAAAATGAGCTTATCAGTCATTAGATGTGGTGGCTGTATTAGTTTTTTTTTTTAAGTCTTTTTTTCCTCCAGTTTTTCACCTGGTGATTTGGCCAGTAACAAACCTCCTGTGTTGGAGTACCCCCACTCTGGATAAATGAGCACAGGGTCACTTTTGGACAGCAGCACTGTCAGTCTGGGGGGGGGGGGGAGGTTAGATGTACTAGCAGATTTAGACACACTAAGCTGGACACCAGTTCACACTTTATAATCAGTTACAGCAAACAGTCTTTTCTTTTCTCTTTTTGGATAAAGGTTTTACATAAATAAAAGCTGATTATTGTAAGCACCCCTGTCAGTGGTAAATGTTTTTTTTCTTATCCCTTTAATTGCTACATCTAAAAGAGAGCTTGTTCTTTTGAAAAACAACAGATTGACTGGCCAGATAACCTGGTAAAAATAAGGGAAAGCAAGCCAAAGAAAACGAATGCTGCCACCAAATGTAAGAATTTGTTAGCTTTTGTGTTTAATACTGCTTCAAGATGCACCAGGATAAAAACTTACTGAGGTTCTAGCCTTCCGCTTAAGAGCATTTTTCCATGCTGTCTGTCCTTTTGGGGTTTTTTCCCCTTCCTTCCTGTCACCAATAAGAGCACTACAAACTGATAGAGCTTCTAACATTTCTGGTGCCCCAACCACGCTCCTAACCAGCCAGCATGCCTCAACGCAGAACTCAGATGCACAGACAAACTGTCCCCGTTGCCCAGCCCCTCCTGCAGCCAGGCAATGTTTACATCCATTTTTATTTGAAACTGGGTTCCTGTGTTACAGTGTGCAGGCAGAGCTGCAGTTTCTATAGAGACGGATATGGGAGAGCCATGTTGGCCTGGGCAGAGGAGAGCATATGAGGTCTGTTTGGGAGCATATTAGATAGGAGAGCAGGTGGGAGAACATGTACCTTTTTAATGCAAACATGAACTTTTTTACTGTAAAGGACCATGCTCCTGAAAAAATGTGTTATTCTGAGATATCTGTTTGTAGCTACAGTTGCAAGAAAAAGTATGTGAACCCCTTGGGATTACGTGGAGTTTTGCATGAATTGGGCATAAAATGTGCTCTGAACGTCATCTAAGTCACAACAATAGAAGAACACAGTCTGCTGAACATAATACTACACAAACATTAGATGTTGCCATGGTTTAATTGCACATAACATGTAAACATTCGCAGTGCAGGGAGGAAAAAAGTATGTGAACCTTTGAACTTAATAACTGGTTGACCCTCCTTTGGCAGCAATAACCTCAACCAAACAATTCCTGTAGTTGCAGATCAGACCTGCACAACGATCTGGAGTAATTTTGGACCACTCCTCTTCACAAAACTGTTTCAGTGTAGCGATATTCTTGGGATGTCTGGTGTGAATCGCTCTCTTAAGGTCATGCCACAGCATTTCAATCGGGTTGAGGTCAGGACTCTGACTGGGCCACTCCAGAAGGCGTATTCTGTGCTGTTGCAGCCATTGTTTTGTTGAATTACTTGTATGCTTTGGGTTATTGTCCTGTTGCATCACCCATCCTGTGCGGAGCTTCAGTTGGCGGACAGATGGTCGTACATTTTCCTGCAAAATGTCTTGATAAACTCTGGAATTCATTTTCCCATCAATGACAACAATCCGTCCATGCCCTGAGGCAGCAAAGCAGCCCCAAACCATGATGCTCCCTCCGCCATGTTTTACAGTGGGGATGAGGTTTTGATGTTGGTGTGCTGTGGCTTTTTTGGTCCACACATAGTGTTGTGTGTTCTTCCCAAACAACTCAATCTTGGTTTCATCTGTCCACAGTATATTTTGCCATTAGTGCTGTGCAACATCCAGGTGCTCTTTTGCAAACTTCAAACGTGCTGCAATATTCTTTTTGGACAGCAATGGCTTCCTCCGTGGTGTCCTCCCATGTACTCCATTCTTGTTTAGTGTTTTCCTTATTGTAGATGTGTCAACAAAAATGTTAGCATGTGCCAGAGATTTCTGTAGGTCTTTAACTGACACTCTGGGATTCCTCTTTACCTCATGCAGCATTCTGCGCTGTGCTCTTGCAGTCATTTTTACAGGACGACCACGCCTAGGGAGAGTAGCAACAGTGCTAAACTTTCTCCATTTGTAGACCGTCTGTCTAATTGTGGACACATGAACATCAAGGCTTTTGGAGATACTTTTGTAACCCTTTCCAGCTTCATGCAAGTCAACAATTCTTGATCGTAGGTCTTCTGAGAGCTCTTTTCTGCGAGGCATGGTTCACATCAGACAGTGCTTCTTGAAACCAGTAAACCCAAAACAGGTGTGTGTTTTTTTAAGGGCAGGACAGCTGTCAGCAACACATCCAATATCATCACACTGATTGGAGTCAAGGTTGGCTCACTCCTGGCTCCAATTAGCTCTGAGAGAAGTCATTAAGCTGGGGCCTCACATACTTTTTCCTCCCTGCACTGTGAATATTTACATGTTATATGCAATTAAACCATGGCAACATCTAACGTTTGTGTAGTATTATGTTCAGCAGACTGTGTTCTTCTATTGTTGTGACTTAGATGAAGTTCAGAACACATTTTATGCCCAATTCATGCAAAACTCCACGTAATCCCAAGGGGTTCACATACTTTTTCTTGCAACTGTAATACATGCAGTGATAGTATTCAATATATACTGTAATTTCCTGTTTTTATTTGCACGTGTTCAAGTTTTTCTACGCATTTCCTGCATACCAAGATGTCCAGCATAAATGATAGTGACAGGGTTTGGGACAAACTATAACACTAGGTCTTAAAGTGTTACTAAATGCACATCAGTTAAATCAGTCTGTATATGCAGTAAAGCATGGTCTTTATACTCACTGTGGAACCTAAGGGGTTAATCCTCTGCATTGTGTAAAAAGGCTGTTTGATCCTGACTTCTCTAATTCTCCCCTTTTGCTGTCCCCAATCCATGTGCCATAGTTAGAGCCATAGTGACAGATCTGTGCATGTTTTGTTTGGTGTTGTGTATTGCTAGAGAGGTGTGGTTTGTTTTTTTTTTTGTTTTGTTTTGTTTTTTTTGGAATGGTGCATGTGATCAGCTCTGTCCAGGGGCAGGGGTTATGTAGTCTCATGAGACAGTCAGAGGAGAATGAAAACTCCTCCTACAAGATTAACCAGTGCTTGGCTGGACAGCTATATACTGCTGATGAGAAAAGGTATTTAGCAATTTATATTTACTAAAATAATTGCATTTCCATGTTCTGTTCACTGTGAAAGACTGGATAGAGTGAATGCAGGGTTATGGGTTTAGTAACACTTTTAAGTAGTTGAAGCAAAAACATTCTGAGCCTGTGTAAACAGGCATTTGTTAGTATCAGAACTTGTTCCTCTCCACACCCCCTTCCCCAATATAAATCAATGGTAATGCTAAAAAAAAAAAATGTATGTTTTAATAAACATGCATTCATTGTCTTGTTGTTTTTAGTAAAATTTGTTTTGGTGTCTTCCAGACATAGGTCATATTTCATGTGTTTCTTCTTTCTTTCACCACAGTGGGGAGTCCTACAACTTGTTTGATCACAATTGTAATACCTTCTCTAATGAAGTTGCTCAGTTCTTAACCGGGAGGAAAATCCCTTCGTATATAACAGAACTGCCGTCCGAGGTCCTGTCCACGTAAGTGTTTTCTTTGTCCTAGTATATGAAGGCAGACCCTAATATGTATATCTGGTTATTTGATGCTTCATAATAACTATGGTTAGATGACAAGGAATTACTTTCTTAGTTTGTATTTAATTTCTGTTACCTTGGCAATAACTTAAATTTCCAAACTATTTGCCAAGGGGGTCTGCTTTCTTTAAAAAAATGGTGCAAAGTTAAACCTGCCATCTCTAAACCTCATAATTAACAGCTCCTGCACTGTCATGCTTGAGGCACTAGATAAATGAAGGAAGAATGTCCAGGCATCTCTCAGAGTTCAACAAAATCCATACAGCCAGCACTCAACTGCAAAAAAGATATAATCCTATTGCAGAGAAATGTCCTTTCAGATAAATCTTCTATATTTAGTTTGATACCTTCACAAAACCTTTATTGAGTAATAACTTACTGGTACTTACAAACATTTTTTAAATAGTAAAGTAATTCATGAAAAATTGATCCAGTAGTGAATCCTGCCATTTCTGTCCCCAGGAAGCACCTCGCTGTTCCTGTTGAGGATATTTCCTCATTTAGGCAATCTGTGGAATCCTATTTTAGGGGCAGCTTTTGCTGTTGCTGGTCCTGCCTTGCATTTGGCCATTGCTAAAATGTCCATTTTTCAGACTGTTGCTGACTGGACTGGGCAAATGAAAGAATCCTGTTTTTGAGGGCCCTGTTATGCTGGACAATTGCAGATTATGCCCTCAACACTGTTATTTTGTGTTAATTCCTTAGTGAATATAATTCACCAGGTCTCTGGGATGATACTGCTCCTTGTGCATATGCACAGAATTGCCTGGTTAAAGGCTTGAATTGCTTAGCCTGCTTCCAAGAGGCATCTTTCATATATGCCTGTCAATGGGGAATGCCTGTTTGATAAATACCTGGATACATTTTACCAAGGAAGTTCTTCGGAGGAAAGTAGTTTTACTCCACAAAAAAAAACAGTCTAAGCCTACTATCGCTGCAGCCTTTTTGTTCCACCCTGGCATCCATCCCAAATTTAAAGGGTGGGTTTACCCTTTTTTCACAAGCCCTGAGTGGCAAAACCCTCCAAGCTTACCCAGAAGCCCTCCTTGCAATGAAGGGGCGCCCTCACTCTCCGGAGGGGGGGGGACGTGTCTATTGGCCATTTCACCAGTCTGGATTAAGGATGTCCCAGACCTCTGATTCCTTTCTGTAATTTCCAGAAACTTCAGAATAGACTTTCTATGCCTGCCCTCTCCTTATTTCCTACCTTCCAATCTTTCAGCTATATCTCAAAGGCAGGCATATTTGTGAACTGCCCTGCGTTGATATCAGGCACAAGGAATGGTAATCACAGTTCATGCAGAAGAAAGGCTTGAAGGGTTTTACTCAAACCTATTTACAGTTCCATAGCTGAATAGGGGCATTGGGCCTAAATTACCTATCCCTAACAGGTATCTGTGTGTCCCCAATTTTCATCTTAAGTCCACAAGATTTATCATCACTTTCAGATGAAGGGGATTTCTCTCATCATTTGTCAATATTGTAACTGAATAACTGGATCAAAAGTCTGAAAGGTAGTGCTAGAGGGTTTGTGAACATAGATTTTCACAGGTTGTCAAAATGTGGACAAAGTCATTTCTTTAGCCCAACTGTCCTGTATTCAGCATATTATCACAAAGACGGGGGTTCCCCAGGAGAGGACATTCACCCGAGTTGAGAAATCCAGGGATTTGTGGAGTTCAGGAATTTGTTGAAAATGTAAGGAATATGTTGCCCCCAAAATGCATTGGGTTTCCTTTTGACCTGCTTGTTTTGACCAGCTGAACAAAAAAGACTTTGGACTCCTAAGGATTTTTTATTTGGTGTTCTCTTTGACCTTTTATACCACATACCTGGATGACCTTCTGCTGAAAGAACCTTCAGCCACAATCCTGTCTTGCAACATCCAAAAGACAATCCAGTGCCTTCACAATTGGCTGACCATCCCCATTGCTTGAAGGTCTTGGGACTGATGTTGGACATGGCCTCAGCAAAAAAAATTTTCTTCCTTCGCGAACCAGACATCCCTCGGCTTGCTTCTGATTGAGGGGTCTGTCCTCATGATAGCCTCCTTTAGAGGTTGTTCTGTTTGCTCAGTTCCACTCAAGACCTTTGCAAAAGCTCAACATTCTCATAATGTGGGACAAGCAGATTCCTTCTCTGGATCACCAGTACTGCTGTCTAGCCAGGGAAAAATATCCCTGGCACAGTGGTCTTCTTGCTCAGTCCTTTGTCCCTGGAAATCATTCCTTCTCTCTCCTTGGAAGGTCATAATGACCCACGCAAGCCTGAAGAGCTGGGATGGGTTCTAAAAGACACTGGCTATCCAGGGAACCTGGTTGCCTCAGTCGATGCTTCCCATTAACCTTCTGAAAGCCATCATACTTTCTCTTCTACACTGGACCCCTCTCTTACATGGACACACAGTAAGTGTACATTCAGACAATTCGATAACTGTCGTCTACATAAACTATCAAGGGGGTACCAGAAATTGTGTGTGAAGCAAGCCTGATTAGGAACCACTTTCCAACTCTTTCTATTATAGACAGACCAGGAGTAGAAAATTGATAAGCACTCTTCCTGAGATCTTCCTGATGCTGTTAGAAATGGGGAACACCAGATGTGGCCTCCATATTAAAGGGGTCCCTTGGCTTTCACGGTGGATGCCGTGATGATTCCTTGCTCCCAGTTCAGTCTAATGTATGTTTGACTGCTCCACAAGATAGAACAGATCTGAGTGATCCTCAGCTCTCCAAATTGTTCCAGGAGAACTTGGTACATAAACATACAGACTTCTGGCAGACAAGCCTTAACCGCTGCAAAACATCCTGCAACAGGGCCCTCTGTTCCGCTAACTTTAATGGCATAGCTGTTGAAACCCAGCTCCTAGATGATGGAGGTGTGGCTGACTGTCATTCCTACCTTGCTTAAGGAGGAAAAATTACCTCTTGTAGGATCCACCATCACACCTGGAGAGCCTACTGTGACTGGTGCAAAAGCAGGCACTTCAACCCTGAGAATATGGAATATTCTATTTTACACCTTCCTCCAGTCTGGAATGGAACAGCATCTGGCTCTTAGTGCTCTAAAGGAACAGGCTTCTGCCTTGTTTCTTCTGTTCTGTTCCAACCTTTTGCTTCACACCTACTTGTCAAGACCTCTATACAAGGAATTGCATGTATTATTCCCCCATTCTAACCTCCTGTATAGCTCTTGTTCCTTGAATTTGGTACGTTTAGTTCTTCAAAAACTTCGCTTTGAACAGATTCTGGATATCTCATTGATAAATGTTATGGGTAAAGTGACCTTTCTGGTGGCCATTACCTCCATCTGCCATGTGTCCAAGTTGACGACTTTCTTGCAAAAAGACTTTTCTAATCTAATAAAGGGACCCAGACCCTCCTTCCTCCCCAAGGTTTTCCCTTCCTTTCACCTTACTGAGGACATTGTCTTCTCTTCCCTATGTTTTGCTTAGAGATGTAAAATTTCTGGAAATTTTAAAGCCATGGGGAAAATTGGAAACTTTCAGAAAAATTTGAAAAAAATTCCATGTGGTGTAGTTTTACAAATTGAAAGTCATTTTGGGAATGTGAAATGCAGTGTACAGTATATAAAAGTATTATGCTTGAAATAAAAGTACAGCTTATTCAGCAAATAAACTAAACTTGCTTTTAAAAATCTTTTAACCCCACAACAGTAAAATCATTCTGTATATGCAGGAAAGCATGCTTGTTATACTCGTTGCGGAAATGAAGGGGTTAATCCTGCGCATTGTGTAAAAAGGATGTTTGATCCTGTCTTCACTGATCCTCCCTTTCTTCTACTGTCCCCAATCAATCTGCTGATAGAACAGAGCATTGGGGGCAAGGGGCACATGTTCAGTTTGGTGTTTTGCTAGAGAGGTGTTTTTTTTTTTTTTTTATTTGTTTGTTTTTTGTTGGGAGAGTATATGTATGTGATCAGCACAGGGCCAATCAGTGCTCTCCAGACAGAGAATCAGGGGTAATGCATCCTCATAGGACAATCAGGGGAGAATGAAAACTCCTCCTACAAGCTTTAACCAGTGCTCTGCTGAACATTGATAGAAGTCACAAGACTGCTCTAACTGCTGATGAGAAAATGTATGTAGTAGTTTGTTTACTAAAGTAATTGCATTTGCATGTTCTGTGTACTGTGGAAGAATAGATATAGTGAATGCAGGACCATGGTTTTAGTAACACGTTAAGGACATTTCAATTATACGTGAAAACGGATAACCACCCCCCTTTCCCTCAAAAGCAACAAAAAAAAAATCAAGGAATCATCAGCATAAATAGCAGAAAGTGTTTCTAGACTGAACTCTGGAGGGAAACAATTCTTGCACTTTCATTATGGCCCTCATCATTTCATTCTTTAAAGTATTTTTTTTAATGTCTTTAGTGCACCTCTGTGTGAAAAGATGTGTTTTGTCATCCTTATAACATTTGGAAAATAATATTTCTTCTTATAATATTTGCAAATTGCAGCTTTGCTCTTGGCAAAATCACACTGTATAAATGTTTCCAAACAGGAACGGTCATCTACTGCAGAGCTCTCAAAACTGGGGCCAGATGCTTATCTTTATCCTGCCCTTGGGGCACTATTCTTTCCTCTAGTAAAAGGGACTGTCACCTACAATGGACCATTATTCCTCCCACTGACGACAACATTGGGGACTATTCCTCCTCCCACTGACACCAATAATGGGGCACTATTCCTCACACTGAAACCAACAATGGGCCATTATTCCTCCCTCCGACACCAACAATGAGCCATATATCTTCCCACCAACACCATCAATGGGCCATATATCCTCCCACCGATACCACCAATGGGCCATTATTCCTCCCACTGACACCAACAATGAGCCATTATTCCTCCCACTGACACCAACAATGGGCCATTATTCCTCCCACCAACACCAATGATAGGCCATTATTCCTCCCACC